CATGTGAATTGAAGGATGGAAATGGATTATTATCTTACTGAGAACAATAATAACTGCCCAGGCCCAGACTCCGGACTCCACCTGCTCACAGGATCCCAGCCCCTTGGGAAGTGCTCCCTTTTTATTTGCTTGTTTGTTTCTGGTACCTGGGATTGAACCCAGGGGTACTCACCACAGAGCCACATCTCCAGCCCTTTTTATTTTTTACTTCGAGACCGGGTCTTGCTAAGTTGCCTAGGGCCTCCCTAAGTTGCTGAGGCTGGTTTTGAACTTGCAATCCTCCTGCCTCATCCTCCTGAGCCTCTGGGATTTCAGGCTTGCACCATCATTCACAAAACCCCTTGGATATTTCTTAACATCCCCAGAAGATCTTTACCACAGATTCACCAACAAGTCCCTCGGTGCCAAGTGCCATTGCTTCCCCAGGCACCAGATTTCCCACCACCTGGTGTGCTCAATAGGTGTTCATCTGCCAGGGAGTCTTCTGGGTTACAGTCTGTTGGAAGGGCCCTGTAGAGAATGACATGTGTTGTGTAGTGGCTTTGATCACCAACTCCTAGAAGCACTTCTAGATTTGTCTGCAACTTCTTTTCTCTCACCAGGCTCCAACACTGTTTTTGGAGCCAGGAGGTGACAGACACCAAGCTGCTGCCCACTTCCATCCCTGTTTCTGTCCCTTGGTGGTTATGCAAATCTATCCAGATAAGCCTGCATCTCAGGCCCTTAGGTTGTAACTGGGAGGATGGCCCTTTAAAAAAACAAAACAAAACAAAACACAAAATTGGGCCAACCACATCAACGGTGGCTATCTCTTAGAGTTGTTAAAATCAGCTGAATGTGTGCTTCCAGAAGAATTTCTGAGTTCTAGATGCAAAACAGGTGGGAGACTTGATATGAGTTAGTTTGGACTTCAGCAAGGGATTGTCAGATTCTGGGGAAGTCTCTTCCTTTCTGCCTCAGCCAGTGTTAAACCTTGGTCATGTATAAAAACCATTCAAGTGGCTTTGACACCCAAAGCACAGGCAATGAAAGAAAAAATCATTGATAATCCTCACCAAAATTTAAAACTTTTGCACATAAAAAAGGACACTTTCAAGAAAGCACAAAGACATCCCACAGGATGAGAAAAATATTTCCAAATAATATATCTGATAAGAGATAATATGCAGAATATTTAAAGAATTTCTACAACTCCACAACAAAAGCAAACAATCCAATTTTTTTATATGTGCAAAGATTGGAGTAGATATTTTTCTAAAGAAGACACAAAATTGACCAATAAGCAACCACATGAAAGATGCTCAACATCATTAATCATCGAGTAAAGGCAAGTCAAAACCGTAATGGGATAACATTTCACAGCCGTTACAGGGGCTACAGTTTTTCAAAAATGGAAAATAATGTCAGTGGGGATGTGGATTGCTGGTGGGAATGTTAAATGGTGCAAGTGATGTGGAAAATCATTTGGTGGCTTTCCACTCTGTTAATCAGCAGCATCAGCATCAGATCTAGAAATTCTACTGCTAGGTATACCCCCAAATTTGAAAGCAGGAACTCAGATATACATCTCTATCAATAGCAGCATTATTCACAATAGCTGGAAGGTGGAATCAACCCAAGTGTGCATCGACAGGGGAATGGATACCCAGCATGTGGTATAGCCATACACTGAAACAGGATTCAGCAATGAAAAGAAACCGAGGACTGACACACGCTACAGTGTGAATGAATCTTGGAAGCCAATTACAGACTGTTTCATGGTTCCAATTATATGATTTATCTAGACTAGGCAAATACAGACACAGGAAGAAGAAAGTTCTCCAGAGGGAGGGGGAATGGGAAGATGTTTTTTTCATGGGGACAGAGTTTCAGATTGTAAAGGTGAAAAGATTCTGGAGATGGATACTGGGGATGGTTGCCCAACAATGTGAATGTACTGAATACCCTGAGCCCCATGCTTAAAATGGTTAAAATGACAAATTTTATATTTTATATTATCTATATTTTACCATAATAAAAAAATCACTTAGAAATTATTATATATCTAATATATATAATAATTTCTAAATTATAATATATATAATATATATATAATAATTCTAGATTTGAATTGCAGATGAAGGAGGTCCCAGAGGCTGTACTTCCACGTGTGCGTATACACACACACACACACACACACACACATACGCGCGCGCTTGCTTATGCATATGTGTGTGTGTGTGTATATATATATGTATCTCGCCAAGGTCAACTTGAACCAATTCAATCCAAGTCTCCAGAGCCAGACCTAGCCATTGGTCTCTTAAAAGTTTCCCAAAGGGGATTGTCCTGCCAGGACTGGGAGCACTAGGCTGGACCTTCCAGTCAACAAGCATACTGAATGACTTTGGGGTGATCTAGAAAGGGGATTTTTCCCTTTTGACCTCTAACCTCCTTTTCTGACCCCTCCCCCTCTGCCAACCCCTTTGAGTGTTTCAAATAATGTGCCCTCTGGTCGCCCACTAAATGCCACAGCCTTTCCCCCGCCACTTCTGTTCAGAAACAGGGCACCAAATTCTCCGGGCATTGGGAGAGACTTTCAGCTCCAGTGGGAAATGAATGCAGAAGAGTGGACAAAAATGCAAATCATTTAAATAAACTTGCTTTAATCATTCGCAGAGCAAGAGCAAGCAGTGCGGGTAGACCACGGCATTGTGCAGGGAGGAGCGGAGGACATTTTTACAAAGGCTTTGGAAGAAAAATGCTTCTCCTATTGGTGGCAGGATCTTAAATAATTTACTCCTGGAAGCATTCAATGCTCCCTGAGGAAGTTCCATCCTGTCTCTCTTGACCGGTGTGTGAAGAGCACCTGCTCTGAATGCACTCCAGGCCGGGGACTTGATGGGAATTAGATGGCCCAGAGTTTATCAAAAGCTGATTGGCTAAGGAGCCCAGGCAGGGACATTTACAGAGAAGGGAAAACTATGTGTTTTAATAATTGAACTATGGATAATCTAGACACTGGAAAATAAACCTTTGCTTCATTATGCACTTGCCTAATACCTCCATTTCTGTTCCCATCCTGGAAGCCAGGAATGAGAGCAGTATAAAATTTAAGGGGGCAGCCAAAGTCTCCATAGTCGAGATAAGTCATACTTCAATGCAATCGTTTAAAAATCAAAATTAGTGTTAGAAAGTCCCAGATCAACAAAATATCAACATTTCAGATAAAGTCAAGGTCAGAGCTTACATTCGCAGGAGTTGGATTCTCTTGCCATTTCGGCCCTTGTGCCAATAAAACTTTATTTTAAAAAATGTCCCATGGGCTTTAGTTTGTGGATTTAATTTTCAAATGAAATACTTCATTTAATTTTTAGATTAAATCAGACTGCATTCAAGTATGATTTTTTTCGACTACTGAGTTTTTTAGATGTGAGTAGTTACAATTGCCCTCACCCCGGCCCTGCTGCAAAGGACCCTTGAAAACAGAGTTGCCAGCTAAAAGACAGGATGGACAGTCAGATTCGAATTTCAGATGAAGGAGGTCCCAGGGGCTGTACTTCCATGTGAAGATTATTTGATTGTCTGAAATTCAAATGTAATAGTGTATCATGTATTTTTATTTGTTAAACCGGCAGCCCCACTTGAGAAAGTCTCACCAGGCACCCCCCACGATGGTGTTTGGTTCCACATCAACATGCCCCACCCCCACACACGTACTTTGTACACACTATGTGAGTGACACTCCTGGACATCAGCCCAATGTGTCCAGAGACTTTTCCTCTCTTGGTCTTCATTCACCATCTGGCATTTTCATTTCAGACACTGAGCCTGACCTCAACTTCCTGTCTCTCCTGGCCCCCCATAGATTAGGTTCCCATCAACAGGACAGGTTCCACAGTGACAGCCAATGCAGAGCCCTGGGCCTCTCAGCTCTCTGTGTCACTCACCACATATCCAAGATTCAACTAGTCCTTTTGCTTTACCTAGGTCCCCTCTGACTTTCGGCATCCATCTGGGGAGGAGAATCCTTATCAGTAGGGACTGGGGTCAGGAAGAATAGCAATAAGCCCCCCAGGGCAGGAGGCCTGGCCACTAAGGCATCCATTGGCAAAGCAAATGTGGAAAGGCATTTCCAGCCCCAATGCAGAGCACGTCAGAAAACCAGGTGGAGCCAGAAAGGATGGAAGAAAACCAGGGGAGATATTCAGAAGGTCCCTGGGAACTGGGATCAACTGTCTGAGGAGAGCTGGGATTGTAACAGCTCCAGTGGAACTTGTGCTGACCACAGAGGGAGAAGTGAGAGGGAAAGAGGGAGACAAGACTCTACAGATGAGAAAGAGGAAAGAATCAAGGAGGAAGTGAAGTCTGGGGGCCAACATGGGCTCATACCAAGGAGGGCAGGTGCATCCCAGCTGAACTGTGGATGCAGAACGCCTCACTTCACCCTGCTGGGGGCCATGCCTGGGGTCTTCTGGCGCTCTCTCCCCCTGCCCAGTATTTTCCCAGAGTGAACTTGCATCTGAATTAGCTGGGATGCTTGCTAGTTCCATTCCTGACTATCCTCACGCTTTTAGAATCTCAGTGATGAGCCTAGGATTCAGCATTTTAAAAGCTTCCTGGCGTGGGGGGCGGGGTTCCTATGTGCCCTAAAACCAATCTCAGATGAAAATCAAGTGCTGGGAGGAGAAAAGGAAGAGATATTGACTAGACTCTTTTTTTAAACAAGAGAATTCTCTTCTCTTCATCCTGGGGTTCTTCTGTTCACTTGAATTCTGGGCCAAGCCCCAGGGACTGGTGGTCATTCTGGGAAATACACCAGTGGGGATAACTAGGGTGACAAGGACAGGCAGAAGCTCTCTGAGCATTACACAGCTTCATGTATGCAAAGTTTGAAGAACCTGAAGACTGACTTCATGTCTGAGTGGGCACAGTGTACAGGGAAAGAATGATCTGCTCCATCCTGCATCATCCTCAGCTCTCTTGGGAGTCCCCAGATTGCAGATCTGGGGTCCACCGTGCTAGATCTCACTCTCTTCCAGAATCTCCTCCATGGTGTTGGCCAGGGTGAAGTCCCCCTCACTGCTCTCCGACAGGCTGCTGCCACGGGGCCAGGCTGTGTGGCCCCGGTGAGGATGAGCACCCAGCTCCCCCCGGCCCCGTGTGGCCAGGTGTGAGCTGTCAGGAGAGGTCTTCAGCTTCCGAAGCGTCTCGGCACCATCTCCATCTGAGAGATTCTTGGGACATTTCCCCAGGAACCGGAAGTTCTTCCCCAGGACCCAGGCTCCACAGCCTGAGTGGTTGTCGAGCAAGAAGCGGGCCCAGAACTTCCGCAGTTCAGCCTTCACCTGTCAGGTGAGACAAAGGTAAGGTTGTAGTCTTGGGATCATTTACTCATGTGTCCGTTCAGAAAAAAAAAAAAAAATTATTGAATAGCTACTCCATGCTACCCTTGGGAAATTTACCTTCTACCTGATGAAGAAACAAGACTCATAAACATAGCAGATGACAAATTCTATGAGACTATAATAGGACAACGTGGTAAGGAGTGTTAAATGAAGACGACAGGAGACCATGGTTTTGCCCTGGACCCCAACAGACTAGACTAAAAATCAAGATGGAGTCACCCATGCTGAAGTTCCACCTCACCAAACCAAGACTTATGGGCCCTTCAGGGGAGAGAGATTACAGTCCAGCTTTCCAAACAGACCAGGTTCAATGGGTCTGTTTGACAAAGTTCTCTCTGCCTTAACCCTTGCACAAAAAGTCAACCTGAGGAAATCTGATGTTAACCAGTTGTTTTTATACCAGCCTGTCTACTCCTTAGAAGGAAAGTAACTTGTGAAGGGCTTTCATCTGCCTTCCCCCATAAAACTAATGCCCTCTGCTCAGACCACTGACACACTTATTCTATTTTATTGAATGAAATATTGGCCCCCTTTTAGAATTGCAAATTAAGCCAAGTGAGGTCTTTAAACTAAATTGTTGCAATTTTTTGTCATTTGACAGGAGATTAAGAGCTTGAGATGTGGTGTTCAGAAGGGACTCTGTGTGGTGGCGTTTGAGCTGAAACCTGCCTGAGGAACAAGGAGCCCTTGCATGAAGCTATGGAAGCAGCAGCCCTGAGCGACACAGAGGAGGGCCTCTGCTCTGGAGAGCTTACACTCTAGATGGAGGAGACGAAAACTCACATTTAAACCTGCAGCGGAGGGAGGGGGGAAATACAAGGAGGCTTGAAATTTTACCCACTCCAAAACCAAATGAAAACCCCTGTTCTGCCCCTTCACCCTTCAAGCCTTTCTCCAGGTGCTACAGTTTGATCTTGAATGTTCCCCAAAGGCTCATGTGTAGAAGGTTTGGTCTCCAGCTTGCGGTGCTGTTGTGAACATGGTGACAACGTCAAAAGATAGGGCCTGGTGGGAGGAAGTTGGTTCACTGGTGGAAGACCCCTGGAGAGGACCCCAACCTTCCTTTCCCTTGCTCTCTCTCTGCTTCCTGAGCACCATGAAATCAGCAGCTCATTCCACCATGTACTCCTAGTATGATGTGCTGCCTTGTCTCAGGCCCAAAGGCAAAGGGACTTGGCAACTATGGACTGAAACCTCTGCAACCATGAGCCAAAGTAAACCTTTCCTTATTGTTAAGTTGATTGTCTCAGGTATTAGTTATAGTAACAGTAAGCTGCCCAGCACCAGGGAAACAGAAAAACTGGTTGGGGTCATGCAATCATATGAATAAAAAGTATAGTTCCCAGGTATTGAGCCTTTACTATCTGCTCAGCATGCCTGGGACATCACTATAAGGTAAGGACAGTTGTTGTTTCCATTTTACAGATGAGGAAACTGAGGCTAAGATGCAGTGACCTGTCTAATTCACAGAGCTCCTAAGTGGGTAAACCAAGGCTTGGATCCAGATTTTTGGATTCATGCTTATTTTTTTCATCATACTTTCACCCTAGCACAATTCCAGTAGGGCCAAGACTGGGTTCTGAGCTTTCACACACCCATCATGACACCTTTTCCCATTTGTCTAAAGTGTCTTCTGTTCTCTCTCCTGGATGCTCACAGTACATGCTAGTCGCCGTTACCCCATCACATACAGAGAAACCTCTGAGGACAGTAGGATTTTAGTCCCAGCCTCACCAGATATTGGGATGGCAACATGGAAAACATACCTCTCCATTGACAAAGCCGTACTGCAAGGCCACGAGGAACCCCTGGAATAAAAGGAAGATGTGATGTGAACTTTGGGTAGATATGACTGAGAATTACAAGCAAAGTCCAAGACACCCCCAAAGAGGCATGCAACTACACTAACTAGAGTTAGTCATACTGGTGATGCTAACTTGGATTCTAAGGCATCTCCTCTAACTTTGGCATCTAACCACCCATACCAGCCTAGCTTTGGAGGTCATGGGTATTCATAGGTCAAAGATGATTAAATCCCCATAAAGCATTCAATTATATGAATACTAGACAGGCCACAATCCCATTTCTACTAGACCACGGTGGTCACTGGCTAATTTATTTTGCCTGACTCGCATTCTTTCCTTTTGGAATCTGACACTCTCCTATTCCTCAGGCCTTTGGCATGACTGTCAATCACATGGTTTCCACATTGTGGGATGGCTGTCATCTCAATAAGTGGCCCAAATTGACCTGTGACCCAAGCAAGGTCAATCAGAGTTCTTTTCACTGGGAAAGGGGAGAGAGAGTCTAGAACTCTCTTCTCTTCATTTCCCATCTTGATAGACAATGTAAACCCAGAGATACTGTTAGAATCTTCCCAGCTCTATGGAGAGAGCCCATCTAAGCATGAAACCAAGACAGACAAAAGCAGAGACCAGAGAGATGGTGAGAGTCTTATTTCTGATATTGCTTGGGAAACTGGATCCAGATGTCTGGTCCTAAATTTTTCATTTATCTAACATAACAAATATGCTTTTCTCTCCTCAAAATATTTCTTTCAGCCACATGGGCTTTCTAGATTCTTGGAGCTTGTCAAATTCATATACTAACTATCTATTGCTGTATAACATAGTGGATCAAAACAACAAAGATGTATCATTTCATACACACTCTACAGCCAAGAATCTGGTGGTGGATTAGCTGAGTGTACTGGCTCAGGGTCACTCTCAAGTTTCAGTCAAGATGCTGGTTGGAACTACAGTCATCTGAAGACTTGGATGGCTGCCAGAGTGGCTCACATACTGACAAGTTGCTTGCTGCTTTTTTTGATTGTAAAATTGTAGATTGTAATTGCACTCGGGATCATTATTTTTAAAACTGATGCACTTGGGCTGGGGATGTGGCTCAAGCTGTAACGCGCTGGCCTGGCATGCACAGTTCGAGCCTCAGCACCACATAAAAATAAAAGATGTGTGTTCACTGAAAACTGAAAAATAAATTAAAAAAAAATTCTCTCTCTCTCTCTCTTTAAAAAAAACTGATGCACATATGTATCAATTAGAAATATTCTCAGTTGCAAGGTTAAACATAATCATGATCACAGAAACAAAGAGGTAGAATTTTTTTCTCACACATAATAATAATGATTAATTCATTTATTAATATCCAAACAAACTTAAAGAATATGTTCCACTCCTCTGGACTTTGGAATCAGAAATATTTACATTCAGATTCCTATTCCCCACTCAGCTGGATGATGGTGGGTAAGGTGGATGTGCTTGTCAGTAGGAGGCTTCAGTCTCTCTCCACAAAGCTGCTTGAGTATCCTCCTAACATGGCAGCTGCTTGAGTATCCTCCTGACATGGCAGCTGCTTGAGTATCCTCCTGACATGGCAGCTGCTTTCTCCCAGATGGAGTGATCCAAGAGAACAAAGCAGAAACTGCAACCCATTTTATGACCTAATCTTAGAAGTCACACATCATCATGTCCACAATATCCTAATGTCACATAGGTCAACTCTTTGCAATATGGAAAGAGACTTAAAAAAGGGCATGGAGAGCCATTGAAGGATATTTGGGGGCTGGCTACCACAGTTCACTTCTTCTCAAAGCCCTTCACACTTCCTGTTTTCTGGATGATTCTCCCTCAAACTTCTGCCTAACTATCTGCTTAAAGTCAGATCTTAGCTCAAATATCACCAAAAAGAGGCCTTTCCAGGTTACCCAAGTCACTATCACAGTGGTTTATTTTATTCATTCTTAATACCAAGATTATATTGTAATTTATCTGATCGGTTATTATCCATCCCTCTCTGCTTCACTTGCAGTCAGAGTAGCATCCTTATCTTGGATTTTCACTACCACACCCCAAGCACCTGAAACAATGCCTGGCGTTTAATAGGAACACACACACACACACACACACACACAAAATATTTGTTGAATGAAAGAGTGAGTGAATGAATGAATGAATGATCCATGACTCAATTAAGAGTTTTGCCTTATACAATATCAAACCAATTCTGAAACGTGGAAAGATGGTTTCTTCTTTATTCTCCTCTTAGTTATTTAGAATTGTAGTCCCAAGGATTATAATGAAAAGACTATATATAGATTGTCAAGTAATGGTATTTTCATTTACAAAACATTTGTCTTGGGGAAGTTTCAATAAGAGGATAATCTCTTGAATTTGGAAAATATTTCTGGGTTCACCCTATAACTGCCAAAAGTCTGGAATCAAAGATTCTTTAGTTAATGTTTATTTCTGTTGATTCTGCAGACTTTGACACTTCCTGATTTTTTGAACAGCCATCTGTGAGAACCTACATACCCTGACTTTTCTTAATTGACATGAAGGCCTGTGGAATTTGGGCTAAGTGCCTGATATATTTAAGCTGGATTTATGTTTGGCACCCAAGTACTTGAATCTTTGTGGGAAGAATCTCACAAAATGCCAGAACTTGGCAGGAAAGGACACATCTCCAACTAGAAGGTGAAGGTCTTGAAGACAGGATGACTCCTTTTATATCTCTTGATCATAATTAAGTTATTATCAAGGTTTTTCTGCTCTTCCTTGTGTAAGCCTTTTTCAGTACATCCCTTTTGCGACCTGGTCAGGGATCTCCATGTTGGTCGTCACAATATCAGTAAAATGCTCAGATTCTGCCTACCCAAGTGGAATTTTCCTTCTCTTATGTCCCTAGATATTTCATGACTAGAGCTCCTACATGGGAACATGGTGGTACTAATTAATCGTTTCCACACATACAATCACATCAGAGGTTTACAGACACCCTGCTTGGTTGGCAGGACAGGTGATACTCACCTCTGGGCACATGATATAAGAAAAACTGGATTTCAACGTACCAGAATTCTTTTTTTGTGGGGGAGGGGTGGTTACCAGGGATTGAACTCAATGCCACTCAATCACTGAGCCACATCCCCAGCCCTATTTTGTATTTTATTTAGAGACAGGGTCTCACTGAGTTGCTTAGCAACTTGCCTTTGGCTGAGGCTGGCTTTGAACTCACGATCCTCCTGTCTCAGCCTCCCAAGCTGCTGGGATTACAGGTGTGTGCCACGGTGCCTGGCGCCAGAATTCTTATAAACAACAGGACAGTTGTTAACAGGATTCCCGTGACAAATGTGTCTTTTCATTTCCTCGGGTTCTTTCTTCATTGTCTTAGGACCATGCTGGAGTATGATTCTCATTCTAGGTAAAGTGACTGCGAAGCCAATAGGTCCCATAGATCACGTGGTTTTTACTTCGTGTATCACCAGGGCTTGGCCATCTCTCCTTAGGTCCAGTGATAGCACAAAACTGGTGAAACTATTATGGTTTGGATACGAGGTGTCCCCTCAAAAGCTCTTGTGTTAACGCAGGAATGTTCTGAGGTGAAATTATTAGAATGTGCAAGTTGTAACCTAATCAGTTCGTCCTGGTTTAAATGGACGGACTGGGGGTAACTGTAGGCAGGTGGGGTGTGGCTGGAGGAGATGAATCACAGGTACATGACTTGGAAGATTGTCTCTTCCCTACAGCCCCTTCCCCTTTCTCCCTCTGCTCCCTGGCTGCCATAAATGGAGTAGGGCTCCTCTATCATGCCTATCCGCCAGGATGTTCTGCCTCATCTTGAGCTCAGAGCAATGGAGTTATTTGTCTATGGACAGAGAACCTCTGAAACTGTGACCCCCCAAGTAAACTTTTCCTCCTGAGTTGTCAGGTATTTTGATCACAGTGCTGAAAAACTGACTAAAATAATTCCTTCTTCCGCCATCTTGGATCTGAAAGTCCACCTTTCTAGTGAAATTTCCATGCCAGTCATTGCAGTTTTTAACTCCAGAACTCCAGCAGTAAACCTTTGGAAGAGTGAAGAACCCTCCAAAGCAGTAAGAAAAGGAAGCTCTTAGGGCTAATGCCTGTTCTTGCTGATTCCCAGGGTAGAGTCACTAAGATATAACCCACCAAATGGGCCCCCACCTGGATGCCTACCTATGATTTCACTGTACCTGGTAGAATGGAGGGGGATAGGGCCAGGGTGTTCAGAAGGTGAAAGACCTTTGCCCACACAGAAGCCCTCAAGGTGTGTTTTCTGGCTCAGTCCTTATACGAAACACCCTGCAGAATCACTCTGATTCCTCAAATTCCACACAATCATTAAAACTATTAAATTATTCTTTCTTTAAACCATACAGTTTGGGGTGGTTCATTACATAGCAATAGATGACCAAACATCCCTTAAATCCAAGGAATGTGATAGGCTAGGTTTCTTTCTTAGAAATCTGTCCAACATAACTCCACATGAATTTTCTGGTCCTCAACTAGCCTTAGATGTGTGAGATCAGTTGATTAAGGGCTCACATTGATTGATCATGTCCTGGGGCTGGGGCCAGGGGAGGGCTGGGATGAGAGGCCACCAAATACTACTGATATATAACAGCTGCAGGATTTGCCTTTTTCCCCTCCTAATTTGGGATTAACTTTTAAAGAAGATTAAGGCCAAGCAACACAGGAAACTCAAATTACTAAATCTTAGCTTTTGAAATCCCCCAAAAGATTGAAATAAATTAAACATGTTTTCATAATGAAAAAAATAAAATAAAATAAAAATGTTGCTTAGTCTCAGTTCAAAGCTACAAACAAGAATTCAGCTCCAATGGGAGGGGAAAATAAAAACTTGTCCAACTGCCCAGACCACATCTCAGGCTCTGTCCCTCAGTCTTTGGTGAGCCAAGCACATTTTCTCTGCTCTGTGCATAGAATCTCAGCACCTGACTCTGTCTGGTGGCAAAGGCTTTAGGAATCTGGTCTAAGGAAATTGATGGGTCCTGGTGAGGATCCGCACAGGGCACCTGAGAGGCATTACAGTATGGTGCTCATAGGCAGCATCTTAATTAACCTCTGGTTAAAAATCTCATCTTTGCCATGTGTTCTCTGAGCCTCGGTTCTTTTTTCTTTAAATGCATATAATAACTTCTTCAAAGATACATTATGAAGATCAAGATTGAAAGTTTCATATTAAACAGATATTTTGTAACATACAATTTTAATCCCTTTGCTGGTATTTTTTACTACATTTTTGGATTTATTTTCCTAGTGTTTATTCCAAGGATTATAAAAATAAATTTCAACTTATTACAATCTATTTCACATTAACATCGACTTCATTCTAGTCAAATATAAAAATTTTCTTCAAAGTAGCTCCATTTATTCATTCCTCTCTAGTGTTATTCTTCTCATTTATACTAGATCTTAATGTGTTATCAACTAAATAACATGATTTACAATTGTTATTGTATATAATCTTATGTATTTTAAATCAGTTAAGAAAAATAACTATACACTATGTAGTCTTTCATATTTTCCTCCGTATTTACCTTTTCCAGTATTTTTTTTCTTCATAAGAATTTGAGGGCTGGGGATGTGGCTCAAGTGGTAGCGCGCTCGCCTGGCATGCGTGCGGCCTGGGTTCGATCCTCAGCACCACATACAAACAAAGATGTTGTGTCCGCCGAAAACTAAAAAATAAATATTAAAAAATTCTCTCTCTCTCTCTCTCTCTTAAAAAAAAAGAATTTGAGTTACTATATATTGTTATTTCCTTCCATTTTCAAAGGAAGAACTTCCTTTGAAACTTGTAGTAGTGTTCGCCAGCGTTCTCTCAGTCTTTGTTTATCTGGAAATGTTTTTATTTCACCTCCATCTTGAAACACAGTCTTGCTGGTCACAGAATTCTTGATTGGCAAGTTTTGTTTTCCTTTCAGCATTTTCAATGTGTCTTTCCACTGCCTTCCTGCCTTGTTCTGTTGATGGTTTTGTTGGTTCTATTATGTAATGGGCCATTATTCTCCATCACCTTCAAGATTTTCTCTTTGTGTTTGGGTTTCCGTGGTTTGAATGTAACATTTCCAGGTGCAAATCTCTTTGTCTTATGTTAATTGGAGGTCATTGAGCTTCCTGGATGTACAGATTAATATTTTCCATCAAATTTGGGAATTTTTCATCCATTGTGTCTCCAATATTTTTTTTACCCCTTTCTATTTTTCTTGTCCTTCTAGAACTCTGATATATATATGTGGTATGCTTGATCACATTCCATAAGTCTCCACGGGTGGTATTTCTTTTAAAATTTCTTTTTAGTTGTAGGTGGACACAATGCTTTTATTTTTGTTTATTTATTTTTATGTGGTGCTGAGGTTCGAACCCAGTGCCTCACCCGCGCTAGGCGAGCGCTCTACCACTGAGCCACAACTCCAGCCCCACAGGTTGTATTTTTCTTCATTATGTTTTCCATCTGTTTGTCAGATTAGATAATCTCAACTGACCTATCTTCAAGTTCTATAATTCCTTCTTCCGCCACCTTGAATCTGAGAGTCCACCTTTCTAGTGAAATTTCCATGCCAGTCATTGCAGTTTTTAACTCCAGAACTTACATTTAGTTCTTATTTTACAATTTCTCTCTTTCAGTAGAAATTTCTTTTATGGATAAATTATTGTCATCATACTTGCCTTTAATGCTTTAAATAATGATTTCCTTTTATTATTTGAACATATTTGTAATGACTTCTTTGACATTGTTGTTTGTTAATTCCAACATCTGGATCCCTCAGAGAGTTTCCATTGACTGCTTTTTGTCCTACATATGGACATCTCTTTTTTTTCCTTTGTACATCTCCCATTTCTTGTACATCTTTTTTTTTTTTTTTTTTTTTTTTTTTTTTGCCAAAGCTGGAAATTTTAGATACTACATTATAGCAATTCAAAATTCTGAGTCCACATGCTCCATCCCTGGTGTGGTTAATCTGTCTCCCCTGTGGTACATAACCACTGATATTTATGCTCATCTTTAAATTATGGGGTGTGTGTGTGTGTGTGTGTGTGTGTGTGTGTGTGCGCGCGCGCGCGCGCGTTTTATCTGCAGGACTGGTCTCCTGTGCTTTTTTAAAATAAACAGTTGGTTAGCCAATGATTGATCAAAATTATGCTCAACCATCTTGAGCCAGTAAGGCTCCAATAGTCTTTGCCAATGGAAGTTTGTATTGCTGAGGGAACACATTCAAAGTTTATGAATGTATGAATTTATAGAATTTATGGCCTTTATTTTCTATCAGGCCCTCTCCTGTCTCCTCTGTGTGTACAGGAGCTCATATTCAGACAGGGATGTGGGGATATACTTTCTGATCTATCTTGAATATGTATTCATTCTTATGCGTCTACACAACATTTAATTCCACCAGAGAGCTATGTGGGAGTTTAACAAGGCCCGCTATGGTGGTCTCATTTCTCAGACTTCCCTGTTAAATTTGTGGCTAGCCCACTGGTCCATTTCTTGCCCTAAATAGGATTGTAACAGCAGGCTGCGACATTGTCCTTACCTGGTCCCTTGCCACTGAGATCACCACTGTATTTGGCAATGCCTAGGCCTGTGAGATTTTTCTGCTTTCTGATCCAAATCAAGTCAGCCCCCTTACGCAGTGAAGCTGCTAATTTTCATTAGAACTTCCTAACTGATGGTGCAGGGGGTGGAGAACAAAAGCAGTCACAGCCCAAAATGACATAGATTCCCACTGTTCTTAGTTCAGTAATCTTTCTTGAATAAAATCTTGTCAATCTTTTCTATGCCTTTGGTTAATTTCTTGTATCCTAAAATGATTGCTATTGACAGTTATCAACTTTGATTCTTTTGGGGGAAAGAATTTGTTAAACTCCTTTCTCCTCCCTTCCAGCAAGTCCTGCTTCTACATGAGCATTTAAAGTTTACTAATTCTAAGTTCATTACTATTTGGGGGACTTCTGCTCTGTCCATGCTGCTAGGTTAGCACGTATCTATTGCATTAGTGGCCTTTACTAATGAGCCATGTCTTCCCACATTCATGTCCCTGTGCAGTCCCCTCCTCTTCCTCCTAGGCTGGATCTATGACTTGCTTTAAAGAGCAGAATGCAGAAGAAACATCAAGGTGTCAGTTCCAGACACGGGCATTGAAAAACCTAGCAGCTTCGGTTTTTTGCTCTTGAAGACCCTGAACTGCCACATAAGAAGTTCAGTTACTCTGGAAAGACCACAAGAAGAGTGGAAAGTGAGAGACCCTAAGACCCTATGGAAATCAGCAAGGTAGTTAGAGGTGGGAAATGAGGCCCCAGAAATTTGACAAATAAGGCCAGCCCCAGTTTGAGCCCCTACCTATGTGTGAAGAAACCATCATAGAATCTCCAGCCCCCACAGGCTCACAGGAGCAAAGGTTAGCCACTGCTACCATGTCCTACCTGGATTCCTGACTCCCGGCATCATGAGAGGGAAAACAATGATGGTCATCATAAGTTACTAAGTCATACATAGTGTAAGTAATGGATAACTAAAATATTCAGATAACTTAATGACAGTCAGCCTCTGGTTTCTCATTTCCTCCCATACACATCTGTCAGGCTCAAGAACCTCCCGCTGTGTGGTCCTACGACTCCTTTACCCAGGTTATATTGTGTCCTAGGTACCTGTCATCTGAAGCATAGACAAGGATCATTTTGCATGCTGCTCTGCAGAGAACCCAGCAAAAATAGGCCCTTAATAAAAGGCTTCAGGTTGACACACTCAGCTAATATGATCATGAGTCACACTACCTATTACAGCCAGGAACGAGCCCTGTTCCTTTCTGAGTCACTGAATCACGCTGTCAGAATCAAGGCAACACCTCCCATCTGCACACCCTTCTCATTCCAAGGGTCCTCACCAATAAAGCCTGCTCATGCTAGAAATCTGTTTTCATCCATAGATCTCTCTTCATTCTGAGCCCATTTAGATCCCATGCATTTTATTTTCTCCCAAGCCAAGGAATCCTGGTCAGACTCCTACTTACGTGGAAGGAGCTCAATGTCAATTGAACGAAGAGTCGTATGAGTTTTGAAAATCCTTGGATTTGGTCATCAGTGATGAAAGAGAAGAGGATCTCATGGACACCCAGTAAAGGAATGAGGACCAGTGTTGATTTTGCCAGTCTGCAAATGACAACCAAATAACAGTCATGAGGGCCACCCTGGGACTCATCCGCATTTCCTGCTCTTTGGTGTCTGTCTTTATCGTCTTGATGAATAGTTGATTTTCCAGTTGGTCTCTTTGACTACACATTTAATGCTTGAGGGTCTTATTTACTGTTGCATTCCCTTCACCTGGTAGATGCTCAGGAAATATGAATGCAATGAATGCACGATTGGATAACTCCTCCCGTATAGGTTTGTCATATGCATACAGATATTAATGTTTTAACTGAGAGATACATATTCATGCAAGTAGCTGCCATGCCCAGACTCCACACCTCCCAGGTTTGGCAATTTTCCTATTACATGGCTAACAGATGTCTCTATCTCTTTTTCTACTCAGGTCTTTCAATGTCAGGACTTTAAATGGCAGCCTGAGAATGGAGAAAATGAGTTGCTCGGGATCACAAAACCTAAATGTCAAATCCCAGCCTGGAAGTGGGAGGGGTCTTTGACTTAACCTCAGGCCCTGCAAATCTGAGCTGCACTTTGCCATCAGCCCTCAGGCAACCCTCAACCCTGCAAGGACCACAGGAAATGAAAACCTGATCCTCCTCATAAAAAGTGCTGTGTGGAGGTTTGCTGCTGTATACAGTCTACACAAAAAAAGACAAACATTCCTTTGTACCACCCACGTGTAAAGTGCACAGCTGGGGCCCAAACATGCCAAACTGGTGAGTCCCAAATGTGGCTGACTAGTAAAATTCCTTACAGAGCTTTTAAAATATTTCCAGTGGGCCCTCCAAATAGGCTGGGTTCTATATTGGTAGATTCAACCAACTGTGGGTGGAAATTTTTCCTTTTTAATTTATCTATACCAAACACAAACATTTTCTTTCTTTCATTAGTCTCTAAACAATACAGTATTGATATATCATTGGCATTGTTTTAGGTATCAAAAGTAATCTAGAGATGATTTCAAGTATTTGGGAAGATGGGCGAGTGGCAAATACATCATTTTCATATAAGGAAACTAAGCATCTGTGGATTTTAGTATCATGGGGGTCTTGGAACCAAACCTCCACGAAGACCAAGGATGCTGTGGTACCCATAAGCTTCCTGGGATTGTGTCAACTCCCTGAGGTTGGGTCCTGAGACAGTGATTTTTAAAAAAATTCCTATAGGATTCTGATACATAGCTAAGTTTGGGGATGACTGCTTTTTTACTATTGAGCTGTTTCTAGATTTGAAACTAACCACATTAGCAAAGGTGACTCATATTCAGGATACGAACAAAGCTATTGTCTAATTTGCATTGGGAAAAAAAAAAGAGACTAATTGCAATGTGTTTTTAGCCCGAGTCACTTCTCCACACCCCCGGAGGTAGAGATGTAGACACTTGAGAGTGTCATCAACAGTTTACAAGCAGTTCTTCAGGAAGGTTGAACTCCATCCAAGTTTACTAGAATCCTGTATCTGAGACCCATTCAGTGTCATCAATGAAACAAAAAACTTTCACTATATGCCCTTAAAGGAGGTAGCGCCAGAAGAGGGGAGTAGGAGCCACCATGCAGGAGTGACTCCACCTGTCCACGTGGGCTTTGTGTCCCTGACCCTTGACCTTCAGGGGAGGCCCCTGAGTCAGGATGAGTTGCAGGTCCCAGTCATGCGGTTCTCCTGAGTGGAACTCAGATGTACTCCCATCCCCATTTCCAGCCAGCGGGGAGTCTCTCTGCCAGGCACAGTAACTTGTTCCCAAGGAGAGAATATTTTAAGAGTTTTCCTCCTTTTCCTACTCCTGCTCCTTCTCCTCACTCCTCTTCTCCTTTTCCTTCTTGTGCTGGGGATTGAACCCAGACCTTATGCATTCTAAGCCTGCACTCTATCATTGATCAATATCCACAGAGCCTAAGGGTTTGGGTTTTGTTTGTTTTAGTTTTGTCTTATTTTCTTTATTTTCAGGAGTGTTTTAAAAACCCTCTGTGTCAAAGGTTGCAAAATGGTGATCATAGGTTGGAAATGACTTGGAGATAGTTTTGTTTAAATGACATAGTGATTTTTTTTTTCTTTAAAGCTACTGGAGACTCTTTAAGGAGATTGCAAAGTGAAGGTGTTCAGATTTTCATCTCTTGGAAACAGGACACTTAGGGGCCAAATTACTGCTTGGCAATCATTGGTATCATTGGTTCTGGCTGGGTTGTGGCCCTCCATTTAGAGGGAACCTGTGATCTTCAGCACCCACTGAGCCTGGACTGCTCACTTATGACCTTATTTGGCCCTTGCCCATGTCTGAATCTGTGACCCTTGCTCTGGGCTATCTGGGTTTTAATGACACATACTCACATGCTTCCTGTGGGTCAAGTCTTACCATGAACTTATTCTGGGGCCATGTTATGACTTTATGTGTTTTTTTAAATGAACTTTATATTTTGAAATAATTTTAGATCTATAGAAAAGTCGCAAACGTAGTACAGAGTTGCCACACACCCTTCCCTCAGTTTCCGTTTCTGTTAAACAATACGTGGCCACAACACACCTGTCAAACTCAGGGAGCCAACACGGGAATATCACTAGTAGCTAAATTGCAGACTTTATTTGGATTCCACTGTTTTTCCACCTAATGTCCTTCTCACCTTCCTGGATCCCACACTGCAGTTAGCATGGAGTGACTGTTACTGAAGAGCCATCTTTTGGGGCCATTTTAGTCACTATCATCCCTCTGGTTGGAAGTAAGAAGGGATTTTCCACTACTCACATTCTTCTAACTTCTCCTTAGATGAAAGTACTATTTGTGACCCAGCTCAGATGAAAACCCATAAATAGTCAAAGCAGCTTACCCCTATGGATTGTGTGTACACTTATTTTTCATCCATAACCATTTGTTTATTTAACCAGTACAGTTTATTGTAGTCGTTTAACTATTCAACAAATATTTACTGCATATGGACTCCAGGCACATGAGCGGGGACAGTGGGAGTGGAAGAGTTGGAGATGAAGGTGGCCGTGTGCAGGGCCAGCTCTTGGACCTGGGTTCAAACACCCGTGTCATCAATTACTCTCAATGTGCACTTGGGCCAATTATTTCACTTCTCTGTTAGTTTCCTCATCTGTAAAAAGAGGATTTTACTAATAACAGCATCCAACAGGGTCATCATAAGGATTAAGCCAATAACATGGGGTAAACCCCCAGAATAAATAATATCTAATCATAATAAATGATCAATAAATTTTTAAAGAAGGCATCACTGCCTTTAGGTTGCTATAGCTTCAGTGATTTTGATCACTTTTATTTCCATTTGTGATGTGTTTAGTCTGTAGTTGCTGATGGGGCTCAGAACTTGCTTCTTCAAAATATGGTAACTAGACTGTTTTAAGCTGAAAATTTTTGAGAAAATTACAGAAGCAGGAACATCACTCTTCAATCTCTCCTCTACTTCTCCCCTAAAATCAGCTCAAAAACCTACAAAGGGGACCTGGGGTTGTGGCTCAGGGGTAGAGCACTTGCCTACCATGTGTGAGGTACTGGGTTTAATCCTCAGCACCACATATAAATAAATAAATAAAATACCTACAACTGAAAAAAATTAAAAAAAAAAACCCACAAAGAATTTCCTGAACTGCCCCTGATAAAGATTCAAAGGCCCTCCTTTGAGAGATGCCCTCCTTGCACCCCCAGGGAAAGAACATCCTCATCTCTGAAGACTCTGAAGACTCTGAATCCACAGGTCTTGGTTAGTTCCCCCAGATTAGTCCCATCTGGTCACACCCCTTCTGTCCACTGCTATTTCTCCATAACTCTCCATTCACCATCAGACCTGACCTAAAAATGTGTAACTTCAATCATTTCTTGGGGTCTTCATTTCCTCATGAAAGTTCCTGTGTCACATAAAACTTCGACATAAGTTTGCATGCCTTTGACCCTGTTAATCTTATCAGTTTGACTTTCAGACGCCCAACCAGGGACCCTAAGAAGATGGAGCAAAAAAACCTTTTCTCCCTCAAATTACCTACCTGGAAGTCCTTTGGGGAAACACTCTGGGTCTTAGCATGTTAAAAATGACCCTCTTTTATACATTCATTAGGCATTCGATCCTCGTGCATCCCATGGAAGGTTAGGATTGTTCCTCTGTGAAAAGAGACCCGTCTCCTCCTGGGAACCACGAAGAATAGAGAACTTGGGAAGCTAAGTGTCTGCTGGTCCCTGTCCACATTCCAAGAACATCCTTAGCCTTGCTGCTAGCCTTGAAGTTCCTCCTTCGTGCTTGGCTCTCTGCTCTCCTACTCCAAAAACACAAAGATGGGACATCTTCTGTTTCCTTTGCTTGATGGTGGAAGCCCAGGGACAAGGGCTAAGAATACAGAAGATTCTCCAGCTCCTAGCAACCCGCCTTTTTGGCAGGGCCTACATGTGTTTAATTCAAACTTTCCTAAAATATACTCCTGGAGGGGAGCCAGATCTTGAACATTACATTCCAAACGTTTTCAAAAATCTCAGAGTTGGAGGGAGCCTGCACCTACCAGAATTTGGATGAAATGCATTGGGCCCATGAGAGGGCTTTCAGGGAATACAAACATGAAAGGGAGACGTGGAAGAGGAGCAAGCTTTCAACACGGGAGAGGGCAGGGGGAGACAGGCATGCTGACAACTTACCGGGGGTGACAGTAGGCAGCCCCTTCCAGAGCTTGGAAATGAGGAAACTAGCACTACTTCCCGAGAGCAAAGTGACAAATGAGCTCATAGATTTTTTTTGCTGTGGGATCTCTCTAGCCCAGGGAGCAAAAAAAGCATGGGTGTCTCCTGACAGATAAGTTCCTAAATTTTTGCTAAAAAAAATAAAAAAGCATAAGTGAATCAATTAAATTAGACTCTCCATGAAAAAAAATTAAATAAGTGTATGTCCGCATGGTCATCTCATGTTGCCCTCTTCCTCACTGAAAATGGCAGTAAAAATGACAAAGGAGGATGTTTTGGCTACTCATCCCGCTCTCCTCTGTGGAAGGCACACTGGCTCTGGAGAATGAACCACATTCTCAACAGGTAGATGGTGCAATAGGCCAGGGAGGTTTCTCAGATGTCCTTCAACCTCTCTGCTTTGACCACACTCTCCCCAAGCAACATTCTGGTGAACTCTGGATTTCTGAGAACATCGTAAGGCATGTGTGCACTACAAAGGAATGCCCGACCCCATCCCCACCTTCCACAGACATTAAAAATGAATAATAGGTTGGGTGCGGTGGCACATACTTGCCCATAATCCCAGCAACTCTGGAGGCTAAGGCAGAAGGATTGCAAATTCAAGGCCAGCCTCAGTAACTTAGTGAAACCCTGTCTCAAAACAAAAAACAAAAAGCGCTAGGGATGTAGCTCAGTGGTAGAGTCCCTCCTGGGTTCAATCCCCTGGACGGAGGAGGAGGAGGAGGAGACAAGGAACAGAGAAGGAGAACTCGTCATCTAGTTTATGTACATGAACTTCTTGTAAGTTCAGAGGGCATCAGCCAATCATTCAGGAACACAGTGAAGTCCACCGTACAGTCTCTGGGTAGTGGCAAGCTCACCAAGGTGAGGCCTCTGATCCTGAAAGGCCTTTGGGTAGATATGTACCCAGATTCCCTTTCTCTAGCTTTTTCCTTGAACAAAGATAGGGAAAGGGAGAAAAAAAAAAACAAATTTCCAGACAGAATGTATATGTCAGACAGGGTTATTCTTTCTACCCTCCAACCATCCATTCTCGATCATTGCTCAGCCATAAAGGTTCCCCAATGTCTTGATTTACACTTCCCCAGATCAATGGCTACCAAGTGAGTATGCACACCCCAGGCTTATGCAAGCTGACTTCTTTGATACTGGAAGAAAATAGAAGATAATAGGAGTTCTTTGTATATTAATATTTATCAATCATTGTATATTTTCTGTTTTTTATGTATAAGGTATGTATTAGTTCATTAGACTATATATATATATTATATTATACACACACACACACACATATATATATATATATATATATATATATATATATATATGATGAGGCACATGCTCAAAATTTCTTTACTGATCAAGATGCATGATGCATGATCAAAAAACTTAGAAACTGCTATCTTGGATAACTCTAGAAAAGGGGGACCCTGGAAAAGAAAAAAGGCTTTATAGAAACACCATTCAGCATACCTAAGCAGAAAATTCCATGTGTTATTTCACTAGAGCATCTCATCAGAGGTCCCCTATTCTGGCTGTGTATCTGAATCCCTGGGGAATCCACAGGAAGTCCATATGGCAGGTTTCCGTCCTGTACCCCCTGAGTCAGTAGTGGGGCTCATGAGGCTGTGCTTTGAGCTGGCTCTCAGGGAATGCTTAAAAGTAGTCAGAGCGGAAAGATATTATAGAGGGTCACTGGGGGTCTGGAACCTGGGGAAGATTCCAGGGGTGCCTGGTGGACTTTAGGGACACAAAGCAGCAGGGGCTTGGGCTCAGAGTCCTTTGGAATTCACCTGACCCCTGATTCTGCCTCCTGAGAGTATTCACCTCTGTCCAGCTTCTGGGTACCCTGCTTGTCCCTGCATCCAGAGGACTGCCCTGCCTGAGTGGACCAGGAGCTCAACCCTCAGAGTGGTGAGAGGCTGAGCCTTGGGAAAGGGGCCAAGGAGGCTGCTCGGCCACTTGGAGGCCCGACTAGAGGCGCCAAGAGAGACAGTGCAACTCCCCAGGGCCCAGGCCAGGCCAGTTCCCCAGGGTTAAGGGTTTCTGCAAAATATTTGAGTGAAAGCCTCAACTAGCAGCTCTAGTATATATTTGCCCATTCCTAAACTGGGTATGTTTACCCTTCGCGATGTCTTGGAGCAGGGATTGGGGGATGATAAGATGTGAGGTCTGGATCCTGAGCAAATGCTGCTCCCCACCTCTGATTAGGTGAGCCGTCTAACTGAATCACACAGGCTCTTGCTCAAAATTTCTTTGCTGATCAAGATACGTGATCAGAAAGTGTAGACACCCCTGTCTTGGATAACCCTGGAAAAGGGGGACCCGAAAAAGAAAGCAAAGAGGCTTTATAGAAGCCTCCTTGAATTGACATATTAGGCAGGAGACGGGTCAACACTTCCATTTTGTACACCAAAAACAGCCCAAGGGAGGCCAGTGCCCTTGCCTAAGGCCAGTCAGTGAGTTTGGGGTTGTGGGCAGCTCTCCACCCCCCACCACCTGTCGCGTGCTCCACCCCAAGGCCGCAGTTATTAATGAAGTAGCATGCATGCACCTCAAAGATGGGGTCCACGTTGTATTTACCTCTTGTTCCAGTTGGAGACATTCATTAAATGTTTGTCAGATAAATAGAAAGACCACCTTCTGGCACCTGGCTCAGACTTAGAAAGAGTGAGGTGCAGGGCTGGGTCCCTCTTCACCCCTCCCACCTCCTCTAGCCTGCTGTGTGGACTGAAGCCCTTACTTCAGAGCCATCACTTGGGTTAGATCACCCCTTCCTTGACAGCCCCAGCTGAAATCACTGGCCACATCCAAAGGAAAGGATGACTAGGAAAAGAGCAATGCAGATCTCAGTAATGTGTCATCTAATCTATGACGAACAAGGACTGCAATTGCAACAGAAAGCAGGAGAGACACAGCAAAGTCAAGTCACAGAAAAAGCAATTGTATAGGGAACATATTTCCTTAGACTCTGAAGTTTGTGGTCTTACTTCTCAAGGTCTCAAAAATACTCAAATCTCAGATTCTGAGTTATGAGTGCATCTTTTGTTCTGTGGCCTCAAATCCTCCAAGGAAGGCAACTGCCAAAGTTCCATTCATACCAGGCTTTCCCTTCTCCATAAGTCACTCATCCTTAGGGACACTTTACAGTCTTGTACTGGGGGGAATGAGTATGTCTCCGGCTACTCACTACATGCTTTCCTTTACATGGGGCCAGAAGGTTCTCCTCCCTGCCAGTCCCACATGCTCTATGACACTATTTTCAGAAGGACTCTCTCTGACTCACCTTAGTAGACAAATATACTAATGCAACTTTTTCTGACCTTCCTAAGACATTAGGCAACACCACAAGAAGGATTCAAAATAACCTTGGACTTCTGAATACCGACCGTAGGCCACTCACCTGTATTTATAATCTCTGAAGCACATTTGATGAGCTTTCAGCTTAGAAATGAGAAGCCTGAGAATTTTCAGGAAGATGAAGAAATTAACCTTGAAAAAAGAAAAAAAACAGATGTGGGTAAGTAAAGATGTGCTCCATAATGCTGTGACTATTGAGGACACCTGGACGTGGCCATCCGCCCCTCATCCACATAAACTAGGGGCAATGTGGCAGTTGGTTGGTTGTAATAATTACTTAATCTCCCCTGCTCCAAAGGCCATCTGATCTGAAGGTCTAGAAGAGATTTTAGAAGTATCATTTAATTATTCTTCTGCTTGGTGAGGCCCATAGCTAAAGCCATCCAAGGTGGACATTTTCTTCATTATCATGAGCATCATCATCATCATCATCAACAACAACAACATTTATTGAGTACTTATGAGGCCAGACTTTGTGCTAAGAACTTTCCATAGATTATTTTATTTAATCTTCATAACAACCCCCTAAAGTAGCTATAACTATTTTTATCCCCATAATACAACAAAGAAACAGAGGCACAGAGGAGAGGAGTATAATTTCTAAGGTTGTGCAGCTAGTCAGTGACCAAACTGTTGCTTCAGCTCAGATCTATCTGATAACAACCTTCCCTCCATTTAAACAGAATGCCACACTGCTGCTCATCTGTAAGAAACTCAGCCTAGCCGGGTATGGTGGCACGTGCCTATAATCTTAGCTATTTGGAAGGTTGAGGCAGAAGGATCACAAGTTTGAGGCCAGTCTCAATAACTTAGTGAGAACCTGTCTCAAAATAATTTTTACTTTTTTGTTTGTTTACTTATTTACTCATTTATTGCTGTTGTTGTACCATACTGGGATTGAACACAGGGGCACTCTACCCCACTGAGCAACATCCTCAACCCTTTTTATTTATTTTTTTGAAGCAGGATCTCACTAAATTGCTCAGACTGGCCTCCAACTTGGGATCCTCTTGCCTCAGCCTCAAGTTGCTGGGATCACAGCTCAAAATTAAATTTTAAAAAGTGTTGGGGATGTAGCTCAGAGGTACAGCACTTGCTTACCATGTATGAAGCCCTGGATTCAATCCCTAGCTCTGCAAAAAACAATAACAGCCACAGAGAAAAACAAAAACAAAACAAGACTCTAGTCCTGTTGGTGTCTAAGTTGAGGTCCTGCTGCCACATGAGGTTCACCGGTCAGAATATATTCTCCACTCCATAGAACACTTTTCTTAACTGTCCTAGATGGGACAAATCCAGCCCTTTGTTGTCCACCTTGGTAGAAGTGGTAAGATATACCCACAAATTCCTTGACACTTCTCCTTTCAAACGTCCCCTCTTCCATGTGAGCTAAATTTAATGACTTCTGTGTAATGATGCAAGAGGAAGTGATGGTAGGTAACTGTAGGGCCCTCAAAAGAATGGTTTCCCCTGAAACACCCTCTGGGGGAAGCCAGCTTGTGAAGGGTTGTGAAGGCCCCAAGGCAGCCCGTGGAAATGCAGAGAGACCCACACCGGAGAATGGCATCTCTTGGCCACTAACCAGCGCCATTTGTCAGTGGTGTGTGTTCACCTCTTGGAGCCAATCCTCCACTCCATCCTTAGGACAGCTCATGAGCCTCCTGGAGGTGCAGAAGAGCAAGTGGTTGAGGATGTACTGAGTGTGGGCTTGGACAGCGAAGAGGAGGCTAGAGAGGGAGAGAGGACCAACTGACATAGGGCTGTTCAGGGTCCTGCTAAGGAGTTTGAGGGGTTTTTTTTTTTTTTTTTTCTGAAAGCAATGGAGACCCAGTGATAAATTCAAAGCAGGCAAGTGACCTGGTCAGATTCATACTTTGGCATTTCAGAAAGGTCATTTTGGCATAAGTGTGGAGAACGGATTGGATGAGGACAAGATCAGAGGCCACCAGGTGGAAGGCAGTTTCAGAGTTCCTGGGAGGGGGAGACGATGGAGAGGTGAACCCGATCTGCTGCCCTGCTATTTCTGTGATGGAGAAGGGTGACTGGTTTGAAATTACTAGGAGGCTTCAGTCAAATGAGCTTCCTAACTGGTTGGATGTGAAGTCAAAGATAACCCCGATGTTTCTGGATCTCAAATGTGTGGTGGTGCCGTTCACCAAGAGAGGGAGCACGTGAGGGGGGAAGAACGTGGGTAAGAGGGGGAGTCCAGTCGTTCTGAACATAAGAGATACCCCATGCAATTAGATATTTGTTTGCACCTCCGCAGAGAGGTCCCAATCAGAGCATGAAGCAATTAGAGTAAAATCATTCAGGGAGACTCTACAGTGGGAGAGAGGGATAGAGGGTTAAGAGTCCGTCCTTGTTATGAAGGGAACTGTGAAGAAGGTGCTGACAGCAAGAGACTGAGACTAAGTAGCTAGGAAACCCTGCTCAGTGGCCCACATCTGTGATCCCAGTGACTCAGGAGGCTGAGGCAGGAGGATCGTAAGTTCAGAGCCAGCCTTGGAAACTTGGCGAGACCCTGTCTCGAAATAAAATTTAAAAAAGGGATAGGAGCATAGCACATTGGTAGAGAGCACTCCTGGGTCTAAACTCCAGTTGGAATGATCCACATAAAAGAGGCATCGGAAGCCCACGAGGGGAAGAAGGTTTTAAAGGCTGCATAGAACTTAGCAACAAGGGTCTCACTAAGAGAAGCAAGGCGGTGATGCTTTTTTTTTTTAATGAAATATGGGGAGATCCTGTCAACCCTGTTTAAGAGGCTTGTATGTAGTAGCAGACTTGGGATACCAAATAGAGACCAAGTTGCTCCCTGTTTGTTTTTGTTTTTGTTTTTGTTTTTGCAGGGATGCAAGAAATTTTTGGTGCAGTTGTTATTTTAAGATTGAAAGATTTAATAGTGTCTCCATTGCAATGGAGAAGGAGCCCATGGAAAGGGTGATCAGGTGACAATTAATGGGACAAAGTCTCTACAGACATTGATCCTGCACAGGACTAATGTCCCTGTCTAGAAATAAGATCGTTTGACCACACACTGAACACAGCCTACAGAACCTAACCTATACCTGCTATCACCTGCTCTACCAGCCTTAGGAGAATTAATGCTTAAAGCTAAAAAGCTTGCATTTCAAGCAAGCAGCTATTTATCTAAACCGTAAGCCAACAGGAATGATGGAATTTCCCAGCCAAAGGATATTTAGTAAAAGAAAATTTAAATACAAACTAAACGTAACCAAGTAATTTATCCCCTTTTAATGGGATCTCTGTTTCTCATCATAAAGAGAAAAACCCTGGGTGCCTGGCTAAGTGATTTGTTGAACGCAGACATTTTTCTTACAAAGCAAGCTTCAACAGCCGGGAGACACATCTTTCAACAAATTCGTTTCAGTCAGGACTGTCTCCTTGGAAAGGCAGGGTCGAGTCAAGGACGACATGGATGCCTTTGTGCTTGGTGTCTTCCAGAGACCAGACAAGAGAAAGTGAGCATCCACCCACAGGCCGCATGGAGGAAGCACTTCCTCACTGACATGGAGTAAAGCGCCATCTTGGGTTACCATGGAGACTGCTCCTCTAGGCTTCCAAGGAGACAAGAGTCCACCATCCGATTTGGCTGATGCTAGTCTTCATTTGTGCACAGTGAGAAAGGACCTAAAGGAGGAACTTTCTCAAGAACCAAGCCAACTCCTTTAGGATTCTGTGACCAGGTCAGGGGCATTTAGGACCTCAGAAATACAAGGCTCCCTTCCAGATCCACCATAGTACAGCTGTCTTCCCAGATATAACATTGTTGGTGGCACTTTTTTGGCAACCCAGAATCTGTGCACAGATCTTTACCTCCAGGTTGGCTGAGGTGATTGCCAACATAGTAGGAGCTCAGGGGCAGGCCTTGGGTACCCCTAAACCCTCCCACCTCTCCCCAAGTCCCTGTTCCTCTGACTTGCCATGTAGACTAAATGCCTCCTCTTAGAGCTGCTCCTTTAGGCCAAAACACATCTTTTCTAAAAGCTTTGCTATAATGTGCATGTCCCATGGAAGAGAGGGAATGGCTGGGGGAGGAGAGAGGAGATCTTTCTCTTTTTCCTTCATTCATTTTTCCAAAGGGGAAAACTTCAATAAATTCCTATGATCTGATTTACAGTTTACGTCCACCATGTAAAGCAGAAGACGAGATGCAGAAAAGCTAAGAGGAGGATGGGACAGGGCATGGCATGCAGGGAGATTCCCCCCTTCAGAAAAGGAGATGTCTCTGGAAATCTGGAGCAACTGAAAGACCCAAGTTCCTGGTGGGGCATAGGACCTAAAATTAGAAAAGTCCAATGAAGACTGATTTTACCAGTTTCTCAGTTTTCCCAAGTTCTTAGATTATCAGAGGAGATTCAATGAGAGTGAGTGATGGATGGCTTTAACTTCATGAGATCAACAGAGAGTCCCATTCAATTTGTTGACACACACACAAAAAAAGCTATTTAATAGGTGTTCAGTCTGGCCAGTCTCTGAATTCCAAGGATAAGGATATGGGTAGAATGTAATCATTCTATAAGACTATTTTTGGGTTTTTTAAAATATAGATTAAGTATATTTGTTATAGAATAATATTTGTTATATTATTATGCTTATAATCACCATAAATATCCAAGTGGAGGACTCTAGTGCATCATCCCCAGACTGATGGGGCCTTGGACCCATGGTTTGGAGAGAACATCTTGTGGATTTGGTTCCATGGAATGTGTAAGGTTATCCTTGAGGGACTGAACTAATCAAGGCTGTATCTATGGGGGTAAGGGAGACTAAGACACGAGTCTTAGTCAATATGACCCAACTCAAAACGTACACTCGGGGATGATCGGTTAATCTAAGTAGTGAAGTCTTATACAAAGGGAGAGGTGGAAATTTTCCAATTTTTCTGTCTGGAGAAATACCCCCCAAAATACCTGGATTCTTCAGATATCATATAATGGACATTTTTGAAATGTGAGAAATCTTATACTAACAGAGCAGCAAATGGAGTCTGCCAGTGTGTGTGGACGTTCAGCTGAGATGCATTCACTTCAACCCAGACACTGATCAGCAAAGGAAGGCTCAGCATGGGGGTGTGGAAGGGGCCCAACTATGACAACTGAGCATGCTTACCAGGGAGCCTGGGATAGTAGACTCTCCTTGGTCCCAATGCTGTGTTCACCATGCAGGGCTGAATATTTCCCAGAAACCTCTGCTCTATGTTCCAGAAATTATGGCCCAAGTTCAAATATGGCCAAGATAAAAGAATGTTAAGATCCTGAAATCCAGCTCTGTATATTATTATATTACTTTTATGGTATTTTGGTTTAAATTGAATATATGAGAGGTCACAAAAATTTTTTTCAACACAATAAAGATATGATGTTTGGCTTATGTCACAATCAAGTGCACTGTGGGGAGCTCCTTCCATGTTGTGGTTCAGAGAATTCTCCTTTGGAGTTGGAGTTATGCCAATTCGTATTGTTAGAAACTGCAGTGTGTGGTTACATATGACCAAACATGAAGGCAGATATTGGTTCAGTCATTGTCTGATGGAACTTAGGATAATAACTATGAAATTCTGAATCTCCAGGGACAAGAATGAACCTTGCACCAAACCAAGCACAGAGAAGGTGCTCAGTGGATGCTCAATGGAAGAGGGTAGATAAGTGAGCCTTCAGTGCTGAGGAATCTCCATTCAGTCAGAGTTTTGATTACACAAGTCATGGCGGAGTCTAGGCTAGATAATTCACAAGTCTCCTAGGCTGTTCTGTTGTGCAGCCACTAGCCACTGGGTTTCTCCACCTCAGTACCCCTGAGGTTGGGGATAGTAGACTTATTTGTTCTGCACATTATAAGAGGTTGTAATGCCTGGCCTTCACCCACTCCATGTCAGTAGCAAACTGCCCATGCAACTTGTGACAATTAAAAATGTCTCCAGATAGGGCTACATAGCTCAGTAGAGAAACATTAGTCTAGTCCAATTCTGATTTTATAAATGAAGAAACAGAAGCCCAGAGATGTTAACTCACTTGGCGAAAGGATACATCACAGATCAGTCGTGAAGCCAGGATTCCTTACTCCTAGATCAGCTTCTTCCACTCCACTATAAGGATTTTATTTTTCCTTTCATGTTTGATAGGACATACAGATTCTACTCTTCTGGAAGCCCTCAAATCAATGCCCAAAATTCTAGACTCCTAGAGCTATATGGGCTGGGAAAGCATCAGGTTGAGATTCCTACCATTCAGGAAAGACCTTTCTCTACCATCCATGTCAGTGTTTTGCCAGTTCGTGATTAAATAAATATCCTTTCTTTTGACCAAGAGGGAATTTTTCTCATTTCTGTTCAAACTCACTTCCTCTTGTCCATGCCTCTGTAGACACAGACAGTAATCCTTTACCTATGTCCTCTCTAAGACCTTCATAGGCCTGAGAATGATTGTGAAATGGTCCTTCCCAGGCATGCCTGTTGACTTTTGTTATTTGGGGCAATAAATTAATTAATGATTTGGTTTCCAAGGAGAAAGAGTTCACTAACTAGGCAGGTGTGAGGACATCAGATGGACATTACAGGAAGAGGAACTATAAAAGCAGGGGAGAAATGAAATACCATATTGGATTTGGAGAACTTTGAGTTTCTCCATTTAAAGTAGAATGCAGGGTGCCTGTGGTTGGGGAAGCAGACAGGAATGGCAATGATTACTATACTAAGGAGTCTGAAACCAAACCTAGGGAAATAGTGACCAAAGAGTCAAAAGTAGAAGAGAGACTCCAAAATTCGACTCCAAAAAGATCACTCTGGCTCCAATATGGAAGATGGATTGCAGGGGGCAAGAATAGAAGGAAGAGCAACCAAACAGAAAGCTTTTTGCAGAGGTCTTCACACAGAAATCCCAGAGGGCTGAATAAAAGCAGTGAAAATGTAATTAAGGAGAAGATGACTTGGAAGGATCTTTAGAGGAAGAATTGACCAGACTTGAAGTCTGAGTAGATTGGCAGGGAGAAAGAAGGCAAGCTATGAGAACACAAAAGTTTGTGGCTTGCTTGTCTGGATAGATGAATCATTTTCCTATGTGGGATGAGCAGGAAGAGGAAAAGGTTTAGATGGGAAGATAAGGGTCCACTGTGACCTAAGATGATTGTGGGGCCAATCATGACTGGACTTGTAGAAACAACAGCAGGCAAAGCTTATTTTATCCAAGGTGAGAAATAGAGTAGAGTCTCTTGTCCTGCTAGGAGAGAATGTCACTCTAGGAACTAGGAAGCACCAGGAAAAATGAGCATGCTGGGCAGCTATGGAAGGCTGAAGGGGCGAGGTCCAGAGCAGTAGTGAGCACTGCCTCACCTGCCCCTTGTCTCACTTCTCCACAATCCTTTTTTCTTCAATCTCACGGTGAAGTCGGGGTCCCAGCACCCAACTCTTTCCTAGGTACCTCCACCACTTCCCAGTAGCAAGGTCCAGATCCATCAGAATCATTTGAGAACTTTTGAAACTACAGCTGCCTTGTGTCCACTCCCAGAATTTCTGATGTTGTTGGTCTGGGCCACTGTGGTGTTTCCAAAGTACAGCCAGTTTTGAGAACCACAGCTGTGGACAAAGAGCTTCCCTAACTTTAGTGTGCATCCAAAACCTGGGGGGTCTGGTTACCATGCAGAGTCTGACCCAATAGGTTGGAGTGGCAACCTGAAAATCTGAAGTTATGACAAACACAGTAGAGTCTGGCACTGGTGCTACCGGGTCACCCTTTGAAGAGCAAGGGTATAGCAGCGTGCTTTTCAACTTGCCTGCACATTAGAACCCCCAGACCACTGCTGAGATCAATGAAACAAAAGTATCTGGAGGAGGGACTCAGGCCAAAGGCATTTTTGGAGACACCCCGGTGATTCTAAGTTGGAGATGTTTTGAGAGGTATTGATGTAACTTCTAGAAGACCACGGAGTAAATACTAAGGATACAGCTAGATGGAGCCTGAATTCCATCATAGTGAGGACTGCTGGCTTATCTCCTCCTTTATTCTCCTCTTCAGTTACTGGACACATGGCCAAGAGCAAATGTTCCAAAGGAAGTCAACCACACAATCCGCTCATGGCACTGTGAGCCCTGCCTCCTCTGCCCCTTGTCCCACTTCTCCATAATCCTTTCTTCTCCAATCACACTGTGAAGTTGGGGTCCCAGCACCCACCTCTTTCCTAGGTACTTTCATCACTTCCCAGTAACATTTATCAAGTGCCTTCTACGTACCAGCATCCGTTCTAAGGACTTCGTGTATTTGAATTAAATCAGTCTTCCCAACTGCCTACGAGGTGGGTGCTATTATATTTATTGTACTGGTGAGGACACTGGAAGGATGAGAAGTTCAGCCCAAAGGGTCAGACTGGGTGACTACCGGCACCTGTTACCACAACACTGTACTACTGCTCAAAAAATTGTGTATCGCCTCTAGAGCTGGACCCTGGGGTCTTCACTTTTGGAGACTCTTTCAGAATCACTACCTTGGCTCAAACTCCCCTAGGTTCTAATTCCCTCCCTCCACCATTTTCTTCATTGGTGACCCATTGCTTATCTTGAGCCAAGTATTAACATCTCTGGGCAGCTGTACTGGACACTCAGGTAAACACCCCCCTTAGTATACTTCCTGGATCCCATACAGGCTTCTGCATCAGCCCCAGCAAATTTCAAGTTCTTGTTTAGAACTCGTTGGCTGCCACTGTGAGCCAAATGTCCTGTTCTTTCTAGAAGCTAGCCTAAGTACATGGCAGACACTCAATAAACTTCTTTCATGGATATTTGCTGGAGAGAAGATACCAGAAGCACGTGTGCCACCTCATAGGCAAAACGTGACGCAGCCCCTTACAATCTGGGTCTTCTCCATACCCTTGGTTTTCCTGCCATTTCTGCGAACATTATCCTTTCCAGGTCACACCCAGGTCTGAGCAGAGAACTGCCATCCATTATTGACAAATGTTGATATTCTTCTATTTAAAAAATAGCTTTTGGGGGGGCTGGGGTTGTGACTCAGAGGTAGAGCACATGCCTGGCATGCATGAGGCTCTGGATTCGATCCTCAGCACCACATAAAGTAAAATAAAAACATGGGGTCCACCTATAACTAAAAAATAAATATTAAAAAATAGAAAATAGCTTTTTTTCTTTCATGACGCCACTTAATTAAAATAAAATGGGGAAAAAAAGGACAATCCAGCAATGACGTGGAGAGTCAGTAGAGCACAGAATACAGCACCCCGCACCCCACAGGCACCCAGAGGTGATGGTGATATGTCTAGGGTGCAGACCTTCTGTGGCCCTCATAGATCTTGCCAGTCTTCCTACAGTTGGCTGACTCCCTGCCCTTTCCCTCAAGCTTCATTGACAGATTTCATTTTTGCACACTGTCACCTAAAGGGCTTTGTGACTCCAGGTCAGTCACCTCTTCCCAAGCAAAATATTTTGGACCACAACAAATCAAGGCCTTTTGGCCTCGAGGTCTCAGAGCATCATCTATTTCCTGATTCTACTACCCATGAGAGATTGGTGTGGATAGCTTTCGTATGTTTTTTTTTTCCTCTAGAAGTAGTTTCTTTGGTCTCTTCCTCCCTCCCTCCTGCTCATGGTGTTAAGATATAGCCAGGCTGTCACTGGGCTCCTTCCTGCTGATGTCCATGTCACAGCCCTTGAGGACAGGATCCTGGAGCTGACTGAGATCTCTTTACATAACTGAAAACACAGAGAAGACTCACAGGGAAACTCGGAGTCAACGTCTGAACCAGAACAAGTGGAAGTCTCTAACTTCTCGCTCATCAGAAACTGCTCACAGCTCAGCGGCTTCTTCTTAAAGGGCCTGAGAACTGGGGGGATGTAGGAATGGGGGTGTTCCCCACAGCCGCTGAGCTCAGAGGGGGAAGAAGTTGGTAGACTCTTCCTTACCATTACACAAAGCATCATGGGTCCTCGGATGATCCACCAGATTTTCTTATTTCCATTTGTTGCCCAGCATCTAAGGGCAAAGAACAGGCAGGAGAAGACGAAAATGAGCTGAGGCTGTGTGTCCAGAGGAGGTGCCCCTTCAAGCATTGTCCCAAGAGATGGGACAAGGGGAGAAGAGGATCAAAATCCTTTGTATTAGCACTGGTACTGTTGATGGTTCTTATCATGAAATTGCTCTTCCATGTTAACGGCCCAGCACATGGGTTCTTCCACGTTTCTCCATGTTCATACAGACATAAATCCTTAATTAGAGGTTTCTTACTACTTCACTAAACAGTTTGTGTGTGTGTGTGTGTATATATATATATATATATATATATGCACATACATATGAAAAATATATATGTGAAATATATAGAAGGTGTTATTCAGTTATGGGGCATATATATATGGCACATATATGTATATGGGATGATATATGGTGTATATAGACATGTATTCAAATATAAATACATATGTATAGATATGTGTGTGGTTTGGGTGGTGATTATTTGGAGGAAAAAAAATGGAATCACATCATAAATGTTGTTCAGCAAGAGGTTTAAAATATCCATTGAGATTTATTCCCTAAAAGTCAAAAGATAATACTTAATTTGTTTTGTGTGTTGTATGTCATAATATTGTTTGTGTGTTGTCATAATATTCCACAAAGTAAGTTTGCTACAATTTGTTCAATGATTCTCATTCTAATGGGCATTCGTGAATTTTTGTTGTTTCTGCTTTTTCTTTCTTTCTGGGAATGAGGCCGTAATACCTATTGCTGGGCTATGTCTTTAAGTACCCAGCGTCACAGCTAACCTGCCCAGCATCTTTGTGGTAATTTGCCTGTGTAACTAAAGGAATGAACTAATGACTACAAGACCTTTGATTTACGTTATCTACATTCCTCAGTATGTTCTACATGGACAAATTGGGAAGAGTTGGATATTGTCTTTGGGAAAAAATGAGGTAATTCCCTATATTGGGGCATATCTGGGAATTATTAATTCAGGAAAGATTAAAACCAAAGTAAATTTCCTACCCCGTGTTCTCCAGGTGTGCACGGGCGAAACCCCAGGGCACCACAAACAGCACAGGGAAGGCTGTGGAGAAAACACAGAGAAACAGGGTTAGGAGCCAGTTGGCCGGACCTGCTTGGCTCCCACCCCAGCCTGATGGGCCCCAGAACAGCTGGTTAAAACTCAAAAACCTTACCTGGAATCATGGACAGGGAAAATTGGAGTGGCACAGGCCCATGCATTAATTTATAACAAGAAACCAGAACCCAGAGGAGAAGGGATTTGCCACCAGTCACAAAACAGTTTAGAATAAATCCAAGGACATTAATCAAAATCTCCTGAGTCGTGAGTCCAGGTTACTTCCTATGAATCCTGCAGCATCAAATTCTCCAAGGTTTTGTGAAAGTATGGGTTCCACATCTAAATACTCTTGGTCATTGAAATTAAAAAATATATATATACATATATGTATATGTACATATACACACATATATGTGTATGCATATACATATATTTTAGTTGTAGATGGACACAATACCTTTATTTTATTTGTTTATTTTTGTGTGGTGCAAGGATTGAACCCGGTGCCCCACGCATGCTAGGCAAGCGCTCTACCACTGAGCCACAACCCCAGCCCTCTAGGTCATATTTTTAAAATTAAAACAAAAACACAAAATGCACAGACTGAATGTTTGTGTCCTTCCAAAATTCATATGTTGAATCCTTCCTGTCAATATGACCATATTTGGAGGTAGGGTCTTTGGAGGTCAATAGATTTAAATGAGGTTGTAAGGGTGGGGTCCTCATAGAAAATTAGTGTCTTTATAAAGAGACTATAGAGTTTGATCTCTCTCTCTCTCTCTCTCTCTGTACCATGTGAGGATACATCAGGAGGCAGCAGTCTGCAACTCAGAAAGAGAGCCCTCACCAGAACCCAACTGCTATGGGTGAGATCTGGCCTATTCCTCAAAGGCTCCTGTACTGAAGCTTTGATTCCCCAGGGCAGCACTGTTCATAGGTGTGGCTCTGGGGGAGTGAGTGGATCATGAAGGCTCTCTCCTCATCGATGGATTAACCCACGAGTGGGTTAAATACTTGGTGGCATAATAGGGTGGTAGTAGAAAGTGCAGGAGGTGTGGTCTAGTTGGAGGAGGTAGGTCACTGGGGATGTACCCTGGAAAGACATTTCTCGTCCCCTACCCCTTCTTCACACTCTCTCATTTTTTTCCTGGCTACCTGAGATAAGCAGTTTTCCTCCACCACACCTTCCACCATGATGTTCTGTCTCATCCCAGGCCAACAGCAATGGGGCCAGCCAACCATGAACTGAAGTCTCTAAAACTGTGAACCAAAATAAATCCTTCTTCCTTTCAGTTGTTTTTCTCAAGTATTTGGTCACAGGGACAGAAAGCCAGCATACTGACCATGCTGGACTCCCCAACCTCCAGAACCATGAGAAATCAACGACTTTGTTTAAGCCACACAAGTATTTTGTTATGGCATCAGAAACAGAGTAATGCAGTTGAGAACAGCATAGGAGGAATATTAATTGTATGATGCCACCAAAGACCTTTCAGATTTTCTAATGTGTTCATTAGCATACAGGTCCACACACACCCTTATTTTCATAACCTCTTATCATTGAGAAACCATCTTCCAGTTGGTTTTCTAACTGCAACAAATGTCTCTATCAGGATCCAGTGTTCTAGTTGGTCCTCGGGAAAAGAGGCTGGAGGTCACGTTACTCACCCCAACCCACCACCAGGTATCTGGGCCACAGCCGCCTTTCAGGAAGCACCGTGGGCTCCAACAGGGCATGGAGGTAAAGACCTTCGACCAGCAGCCATAAGTGGTTGGCACCCACGCAGTAGTGCAGGAAAACCTGGACGGAGCGGCAGGAGGTGGACATCTGCAGAGGGCAGAACACCTGAGGGTGAGTGCTGCCTTTCCCAGCATCTGAACCCCAAGTGAGCAGAGAAATGCCTCCCTGGACACAAACCCTCTCCCCTACGCTTCTCTCTCCTGGGCCTTTGCTGATCATCTCAGGGAAACAGCAATAGTATAGAATGTAAAGTCTCTAGAAAAAGGTTTTTTTTTTTAAAATATGACAAAGGTTTAATTAAAGAACAATTTATTACTTTTAATCAGGTATAGGTAAACAATTAGAAAATAATACAGTACCCCAGGCAGAACTAGCCGAGATCATTATCCTCCTTAGTACTACAGTGGTAAAGCAGGGATAATAGAAAAGTCTCTTTCCTAGTCTCTCTCTATCTAGAAGAGGCTTTCTATTTATAACCAGTCCTATATGTGCATTTTTTGGTCAGACACATTTTTATTTGTTCTATTTAATTATACATGACAGTAGAATGCATTTTGACCCATCATACATAAATGGAGCATAACTTCTCATTCTTCTGGTTGTGCATGTAGAATCCCACCGGTCATGTAGTCATATATGCACATAGGGAATAATGTCAATTTATTCCACTATCCCCCATACCACCATGCCCCCTCCCCTCCCTTCACTCCCCTTTGCCTAATCCAAAGTACCTCTATTTTTCCCCAGTCTCTCCCCACCTTATCGTAAATTAGCATCCACATATCAGAAACAACATTCGGCCTTTGGTTTTTTGGGATTGGCTTATTTTGCTATATGTGCCTTTTTATAAAGCATCAGTTTTATCATGGATGAAGTTGTATCCTTATTTTGAAACACCTAGGCTTTTTAAATGTTTTGAGGTGATGGTTTATGATAAATGATAGAACTAGAAAATAGAGCAGCTTATGAATATCCTTTTGTCATATTTAATAGAAAAGAAGCACTTTGCATATGGAATTTTATTTGTTCTAATTAGTTATACATGATAGTAAAATGTATTTTGACATATTATACATGCATGGAATATAACTTCTCATTCTTCTCATTGTAAATGGTGTAGAATTACATTGATCATGTAATCATATACGCACATAGGACAGTAATCAAGAATACAAGCAACAATTAATGTTGGCGAGGATGTGGGGGAAAAGGCACACTCATACCTTGCTGGTGGGACTGCAAATTGGTGCAACCACTATGGAAACCAGTATGGAGATGCCTCAGAAAACTTAGAATAGAACCATCATTTGACCAGCTATTCCACTCCTTGATTTATACCCAAAGGACTTAAAATCAGCATACTATAGTGACACTGCCATATCAACGTTTGTAGCAGCTCAATTCACAATAGCTAAACTATGGAACCTACCTAGGTGCCCTTCAACAGATGAATAGATAAAGAAAATGTGCTATGTATGCACAAGAGAATATTACTCAGCCACAAGGAAGAATGAAATTATGGCATTTGCCTGTAAATGGATGGAGAATATCATGCTAATTGAAATAAGCCAATCCCCCCAAACCCAAAGGCTGAATGCTTTCTCTGATTTTGTGGATGCTAACTCACAATGAAGGGGGTTAGGGAAAAACAGAAGTATTTTGGATTAAACAAAGGGGAATGGAGGGAAGGGAGGGGGAATGGGAATAGGAAAGATAGTAGAAAAAGTATTTACTATTATTGACATCAGAATAGAAAATTTGAACATAAAATTCATAATTAAGCCATAATTTAAAACTTCTAATTCAGAAAACTCTGGGTCCAAATGGCTTCACTGGTACAATCTATCAAACATTTAATGAATAAATAACATAAATCTTAAATAAATTCTTCCAAGGAATAGTAAAATAGGGAAGATGTACCAACTTAAAAGGTCCACACAAACTTTATACCCAAACCTCATAAGAAAAGAAAATGACAGTCCAGTCTTTCTCACAAATGTCAGTGAAGACATGCTAAACAAAAACAGTTTTAGCAAATTGAATCCAGTAATATAGGAGGAAGTTTAATCTATCAAAACTTCATCTGGTTTATTCCAGGAATGCAAGGTTAGTTTAACAGGTTACTGCTTTATTAGCATGATAAAAAATGATCTCCATAGATTTTCAATTTTCATAAATTTTCAATAATTATAAAAAATTACAATTATGGATCTAATCCAACACGAGTGAAGAAAAAGAGTGAAAATACAAAATACCAATAACAAGATTTTGATTACAGATGAAAGTTTTTCCCACCTGAGGACACGAGGTAGCCATAGGTGAGCCTGTCTACCTCTGGAACCCTTCAACTGCCACACTCTTGAGAGGCTGTTGTGTTTTTAAATCCCAGGCTGCTTCTCTAGCCAGATAGCCCCACCCATCTGCCCTCTGATTCCCAAATCTCACCCAGCTGATGGGAAGCTGAATTTGGATGGTGGAGGAGGGAAGGGGATTACCTCTGACAGATAGGACATCCATCCACTCTCACTGTCTGGCCTCTTGGAGTAAGAGTTATAGAAGACAACATCCTTCACCAGCACAGCCAGGGCTTTCAGGATGAATGAAGCAAACAAGTTCATGTGGATGTAGTTGCGTGTACAGTGGAGCTTTCTGTGCAAAGAGGAAAACAAGTGTCACCCTCAGGAAAGAATGGCTGGGGCCAAAAGGTCCATGCCTGGCCCACCTGCATATCTACCACTAAAGACAGAGGTTCATAGTGAAGGCTCCAGAGTTGCACCACTCGGGTATGTGATCTTACTTCTCTGTGCCTCATTTTCTTTATCCATAAGGGTAACGATAGTTATCTTTATACAACATGTTCACTGCGCCAGGCCATTTTCTAAGCCATTAACTTGTGAGTGTCCTTCCTCTTTGCCGTCACTGGAAGAGGGGGCAGTCTCATTACCCTGATTTCATAAATGGTGGAAGTGAAGGAGGAAGGCTAAGTTGCCTGTCTAAAGTTCATTAATTAATAGAGCTGAGATTTAAATCTAGAAACTCTGAGGCCAAAGTATGACTGTCCAAGGCTCTACTGCCTCTGAGAAGAAGAGCATTGATCTCAGAGGCCTGGGGGAGAATTAAATCAGTTAATTCACGTAAAGTGCATCTCATAAGTGTCCAGAAAAATATCAGCTCATTTCCTCTCCCTGGAGTCTCCTGTTGGCTCTTTGTCATATAAGCTGATGTGACACAGTGCATTCTCAGTGTCTCTAGCCAAAGGGACTCCTTTCCACCACTACACCTCCGGCATAGCACATACCCCATTCTACTTGGTTTAGAGCTATTATTATTTTAAAGGACTTGAGGCAGGTCTTTGTATTTAACAATGTACGCATCCTCCTGCATAACCAAACAGTGGGCTGTTCAAGGGCAGGTACTGAGCCTTGCTCCTTCTGGAGTCGGAGGCAAAACAGATCCGTGGTCAACCCAGACTCAGCTGGCATTACTTCCTGCAGGGCTGAATAGTTATTTAATCCTGGATTGGTTCACGGACTTCGGGAAGGTGTAGAGAGGGAAGTCACAGGTAGTCAGTGGGTACAGGCTGTAGAATTCTCTCAAAGCTCAAGAATTGTTCTCTCGAAGGGGTAGATGGTCAGGACGCTGCTCCAAGAACCATAGAGCATTCTGGGGTTAGAGAGTCAGACGAGATTCAGACCTGGGGCTAGCAGAGCCCAATGGGAGGTGCCCTGGAACTAGCACCCACATCATCTCCAGGGTTCCATTCAGTCTCTGGCCACTGGGATTGAGCGCTCATTCTGCCGTGTAATATTCACTTGTGTTTCTTAACGGGCTGAGACCACTGGACAGCCTTTGAGGGCTCCTCAGTGGGTCTGTAAATATCTTACTTGGGCGATACCCAAATAATGTGATTTAGTAAAATGCATCAAGGCTTTGAATTCCGAAAGACAGTACAAGCAAAAATGCTCAGACCCTGGCTCCATCACCCATGAGCTCTGAGCTTGGACAAGTTACTTAATCTCTCCATATTTCAGTTAACCCACTTATAAATAGGGAGCAATATTAACACTAACCTCCTAGGATCAGAATGAATCTTAACTTGAATTAGGAAGAGATTTAAAGTACTTGATGCATGTGAAGTGCTGGGAGGAAACACTTAAGTAATTAATAGCTAAGTGGAATTCAAAGATGCTGGGTTAAAATCCCAGCTCTTCCATCCACTTGCCTTGAAGGAAGTTTCTGAATCTCGTCTGTAACTATAATGCCTCTGATAGAGTTGTGGTGAGAAGGGGATGGGGTAGTGATGAGTGGGATCAGGGATCTTCGACTAGGGTGAGGGCACAGATGGCATCTAATGCAAAGGACTCCTGAATTCATGGTCTAGCTGTGTGTCAGTCTGGTTTTATGGCCAATCACAGTTCAATGCCTCTCCCTGGGACTTAGATAACTCCTTTCTGCTCCTTCATCTGCAAAATGGGATGGATGCCCTGAAGACTTTTTCATGTCCCTTCCAACTCTGAGGAACCATGATATCAGCCAGCCTAATCTTCCAGAGGCAGCCATTGAGCAAACCCCATGGTGCATGCCTGACTGTACATCTGTCCGTCTGCAGGAGTTCCACTCACCGAAGGAACAAAAGGAGGGTGAGAGCCAGGAAGAGGGAGATAAGGGAGAGGGAGTATCCCACTGTGTACATCAGCTGCAGAGTGGACAGCAAGGCGTAATTCTCCACCTGGACACAGAGGAAGAACAGATGAGGATCAAGACAGAGCCTACAACCTCCAACCACATATCCAGGGCCACCGTGGGTCTAGGCATCGACTGAGATGCGTCCAGGCTCCCCAACATGCCTCTACACCTCTCCTTTGCTATGCTTGTTGACATCCAGGCAGGGTGGCTTAGACTGCTCTCTGTCACATCTCAGAGCCCACCGAGGGTCTCACCCCATGATGGATGCACCAAGAGTCACCATATCATAACAGAGTTGTGTCTAGGACAAGAGCATGCCTGGGAAATGAGGACAAGCTCTTTGTCCCTGGGAGTGCTATTCCGGGAGTCTCTGAGTCCTCCTCCCTAGAGGATTGGGCCAAATTTCTGTCTGGATGAATAATTTTTCATAGATGATTTTTTTTGAAGTTGGCCCAATAGAACAGAGCCATGTTTTTTCTCTAAGTCCCAGGATAGCCTGAATGTGAACAGAGACCATTTATTAGAAATTCTGTGTTATTAAGCACGATTTTCCAATGGAGTCCCACCTTCTCCCTCAATCCTTTATGCATATTGCAGTCAAGATTAGGCTTCTCAATAACTTTCTGTGCAAACACCCACAGTAAATACTTTTTTTTTTATTATTGGTTGTTCAAAACATTACAAAGCTCATGACATATCATCTTCCATACATTTGATTCAAGTGGGTTATGAACTCCCATTTTTACCCCAAATACAAGTTGCAGAATCACATCAGTTACACATCCACATTTTTACATAATACCATATTAATGACTGTTGTATTCTGCTACCTTTCCTATCCCCTACTATCCCCCCTCCCCTTCCCTCTCATCTTCCCTCTCTACCCCATCTGCTGTTGTTTAATTCTCTCCCTTGTTTTTTTTTTCACAGTAAATACTTAATGTCTACCAAATTAGGTATTGAACTTCTTTGCATAATTTGTGATATGTCAGTATGTTTTATATTTATGCATAAACTGTACATACTTAAAGTCTAAAAGCTGATAAGTCTGGATAAATGAGTATATCTTTGATTTTATCACCATAATAAAAATAATGAACATTCCCATAACCTCCCCCAAAAGTTTCCTCATGACCTTTTGTGATATGTCTCCCCTTTCCCTCATCCCTAGCTCATTGCTATTCACCCGCTGCCCAGGGAAATACTGTTCTGCTTTCTGTCATTAGAGATCACTTTGTATTTTCTAAAATTTTAAATAAACAGACTATTTTGACATGTTACTCTTTCGTCAGGCTTATTGCATCTGGAGTATTTATTTTGAGGTTCCTTCATGCCATACCATGTTTCAATAGTTTGTTCCTTTTTTAGTGCTGAATAGCATTCCACTGTGAAAATACCACACTTTATTTATCCTCTTACTTACTGGTGGGCGATTGGATTGTTTTCAGTTTGGGGCTTTCACAAAGTTTTTATGAACATTTCTGTGCAAGTTCTTGTGTGGACATAGGTTTTTATTTCTCTCAGATAAGTACCTAAAAATAGAATGGTGGAAGAGTATGGTGTATAGTTTAACTTCTTAAGAAACTGCCAAACTGTTTTCTAAAGAAGTGGTAGCAATTTACATTTCCATCAGCCCCATATGAGCTCCTTTGCATTCCCCCAATACATAGTACAATAATTCTTAAATTTTAACCATTCTAGTGGTATGCAGTAGTACCTCACCATGGTTATAATTTGTACTTTCCTAAAAAATATGATCTTGAGAATCTTTTCATTGCTTATTTGCCATCTGTGTATTTTACTGGGTAATGTATTTATTCAAATATTTGTCCATCTTTTAAAGTGAGCTGTTTCTCTTCTTATTTTTGAGTTGCAAATGTCCTTTTTTATAGTCTAGGTTCAAATCTCTTGTCTTGCAAGTATCTTCTTTCATTCTGTGTATTTCCTTTTAATTTTCTTAGTAGCATGAGTTAGTGTTAGGTCTTCCTATTTTGTTCTGTTTCAAAGTCATAGTGACTCCTACAGATTCGTATAAATTCTAGAATCATCTTGTTTATTTTCACCAAAATCATTCTTGGATTTTTATTGGAATTGCATTGAAACCATGGGTCATTTTAGGAAGACTGACATCCTAATTATTAAGTCCATGAACATGGTCTATCCCCCACTTTAGTTAGGTTTTAAAAATTTTGCTCAGCGAAATCTTTTGTCAAATATACCATTACTTGTTTCATATTTTAATGCTGTTTTTATTTTCTTAATTGCAATTCTCAATCACTCGTTGCTAGTATATGAAAATACAGTTGATTTTTGTATTTGTTCTGTATTTCGAAAACTTGTTAAATTCACTTATTAGGTTTAATACTATTCAGTGTAGATTCCTTGGAATTTTTTTCTATGGATGATCATGCTATATTTGAATAACAACATTTTTTACTTCTTCTTTTCCAAATTCTATGCCTTTGCCTCCTTCTTTGCCTGTTTCTCTCTTTAGGACTCCAGTACAATGTTGAATAGAAGTAGAAAAAATAGAATAACTTCCTTGTGAAAGATATTAAGGGAAAATGGTCACTCACCAATTAATATGATGTGAGATACAAGGTTTTTAAGATGCCTTTTATATTGATTTTCTGTGGCTGCTGTAACATAGTACCACAAAATTGATGGCTTAAAAATAATATGATTTAATTCCCATAGTTTTGGAGGTCAGAAATCCAAAATCAGCTTCAGCTCATAACAAAGTGTTGGAGGCTGCAGAAAATAATCAATTTACTGGCCATTTCTATGTCTGCATTTATTTTTTCTGGCTCTCTTTCTCATCTTCACTGTCTGAAATGTAGAATCTTCTTTCCTCTCTGACAGCACTTTCATCCCTAATCCCACTATCCTCTTTCCTTAGGACACTCCTGTTTACCCTGGGCCCACCAGGATCACCCGGGATAATCTTCCCTATCTCAAGACCCTTAACGTAATCACATCTGAAAAGACCTTTTGTTATATAAAGTAAATGCTCACAGGTTCTGGAGATTAGGACATGGACATCTTTAGGAGGCCATTGTTCAACCTACCATGGCTTTATCCAATTGAGAAATCTCCATTCTCTCCCTTAAAGACTGAGAATTTTTATCATGAATGGAGGTTAAATTTTGTCAAATGCTTTCTGTTTGTCTATTGGAAAGAATCACCTAGATCATCTTTTTTAGTCTGTTAATATGATGAATTTCATTGATTAATCTTCAGATGAATCAGACCAACAAGTTGCCTTTTTGGTTTAAGTGCACTTGGTCATGATATATGAATTTCATGTTTTTGGACTCAGTTTGCTAAAATTTTTCCAGGAATTTTTGTGTATGCTCTGAGGGATACCAGTCAGTAATTTTATTTTCTTGTAATGTTTTTGTCTGATCTAATGATCGCCTCATAGACTGAGTTGGGTAGTATTTCTTCCTTTTCAATTTTTTTGGGTAGTTTGTGTGGAACTGGTATTATTATTTTGTCCTCTATTTCTTCCTTAAATTTTATCAGTTTGGACTTCATGAGCTTTAAGAATCTGTTACTAGGTATTAAGATTTAGGATTGGGGCTGGGGATGTGGCTCAAGCGGTAGCGCGCTCGCCTGGCATGCACGGGGCGTTGGGTTCGATCCTCAGCACCACATAAAAAGAAAAAAATAAAGATGTTGTGTCCACCAAAAACTAAAAAATAAATATTAAAAAATTCTCTCTCTCTCTCTCTCTCTCTCTCTCTCTCTCTCTTAAAAAAAGATTTAGGATTGATATGTTCTCATGGTGAATTTGTCTATTCATTATTATTCATTATTATAAAGCATCTCTCTATAATCCTAGTAATATACATTACTCTAAGAGCTATTTTGTCTAATATCAAAATAGTCATCCCTCCTTTCTTCCGATTAGTATATATATATATATATATTTTTTTTTTGGATGGGATGCCTCTTTTTCATCTTTTAAATTTTAACCGTAGTCTATAAAGTAAATGTTCTCTGGATAGCATGTACTTGGGTTTTGCTTTGATTTTTCTCCTTAATACAACCTTATTTAGAACATTTATATTAAAGATGGCTTATTTTGTATTAGTTTTTAATTTTATATTTTCTTTTTTGTGACATTAATTAGTGACTTTTTATTCTTTGTGATATATATATCTTTAATCCATTAATCCCATTTCTAGGAATCTTCCAAAGGATGTACTGCCACAAATATGAAAAAATGTATACATAAAGGTTGTGGCATTATTAAGAATAAAAGTTTGGAAATAACCCAGATCACCATAGAATAGGGCTGAGAAAACTGTAGTAGATACATGATGTGAAGTACATACAAGCAGCTGTGAATACATATTTCTAGAAAATGACACACAATGATTTCCAGGATATGTTGTTAAATGGAAAAAAAATAAGATAAATAGTAAGATATGTTGTACACAGCATTCTGTGTAAGGAAAATGGGAAACAACATATTTACATATTTGCTTAGTTTTGCAACAAGAAACAAGATATAAAATGATAATAAATGATATAGAAAATAGAGAATAATAAACAAAATAATAATAGGTAATAATAATAATAATATGATACAATGATAAAAAAACAAAGAAAGAATAAGCCAGAAAATAATCAAATTGATTGCTTATAGGAATAGGTAAGGATAGGGTGGAGGACATAGTGTCAAGAGTCAGAGATCTTTTTTATGTAGTTTTGGCTTTCAAACCCTGCCAATATTTTATGTATTAAAAATAAAATTAATACATCAACAATGATTTTGATAAGACATAAATGAGGAAAACCATCCCATACCATTCACAATAGCTTTTTTAAAATATTAGGAATAAATTTAACCAAAAGATCTCTACAATGAAAATTAGAGAACACTGAAGAAAGAAATTGAAGAAGACCCCAGAAGATAGAAAGACCACCCATGTTCATGGATAGGAAGAATTAATATAGTTTAAAAAAAAGGGCCATTCTACCAAAAGTAACATATAAATTCAATGCAATCCCCATCAAAGTACCAATGACATTCTT